GCAATTCAAATGATGTGAAGTTGAAATTTTAGCAATACCGTGGAAACCATATTGGAATAAGGTAAGTCAATTACATATCTTTTAATACTAAAGATATTGGGACTTAAAAAAGTAAATAAATAAAGACTCTCTCTTAAAAAAAAAAAAAAGAATTCATAACTCAATTTTAATGTCTTCCCTTATCTCCTTCCTGATAAACATACTCTTCACTTCCACCGCTATGCTACTACTAAATTTAATGCATCTATTATTGCACGGTCTATATACATAATTATTTATCTTTCTCTCTCCCCTATTAAACTTTGAGCACCTTGAAGGGAAGGACTATTTCTTGTCCATCTCTCAATTCTCAGTTCCCTCCCTGTGCCCTTCATGTAATCCACAAATGCTCATGCAATTAAATGTTAATAACACGTATACATTTACTGCTTTGCTCTCTCTTTTCTGCCTTCCTAAAATGTTCCTTTGAATCCCTCTCCACCCCTCAAAGTTAAACTTCTCAAGGGTTATCTATATTTGGTGCCCTCTCCTCACTTCAGAAACACTCCTAAAATTATTTCTGACCTTGGGGCACCTGGGTAGCTCAGTCGGTTGAGCCACCAACTCTTGATTTTGGCTCAGGTCATTTTGGCTCAGCGCGGAGTCTGCTTGAGATTCTCTCTCTCTCTCTCTCTCTCTCCCTCTGCCCTCCCCCTGCTCACATGCACACACGCTCTCTCTCTAAATTAAAAACAAAAACAAAACTATTTCTGACTTTAGCTACAGCCTCTCTACCAAAACAACTTTCTCCACAACTTTCTCCAAGGCCATCAATAACCTTTGACTGCCAAATCCAGTGTACAGTTTTCATTTTACAGGATTCCCAGTAGCATTTGACACCGTTGATCGTGTTCCCCTTGAAATGGTTTTCCACTTCATATTCAGATACCATGCTTCTCTTACCCTGTTGCACCATATATATTTTTGCCTTCTCAGCTTCCTCACTGTCCTTAACAAATAGGGATTTTCCTCAGGGTTTCAGTTCTTGACCCTCTTCTCTTCTAACTATAGTCTCTCCTTAGGTGATCTCATTCATGCATGTAATTTCAGTTTCTATCTATTTAGCTGAGGATTCTGACGTTTTTATCTTTAGCCCACAACTTTCTTCTGGTATCTGGACCCATGTATTCAAAATGCCAGGTTCCTATTTCCATGTGGAGTATCGAGTGACCTTAAAGCCAACGTCCAAAAGTGAACTTGTTTTCTTTATCTCTCCCAGAATGACAACAACAGCAATTACAACAACAACAACAAAATAAAAAGCCTGGTCCTCCTCTACT